CTCTCTTCTCTGTCTCTCCCCCCCCCCCTCTCTCCTCCCTCCACACATACTTCTCCTCCAGGAGGGCCCCGCGCGGGTGTACGAGTCGGCTTGTGTTGTGCGGGTGCATTCCTGTCATCGCACCAGAGAGAGAGAGGGGGGGGGCTGAACGAGAGGGGCGGAGGGGAGAAAGAGAATGGCCCGTTCTCGTTGGACCGGTACTGGGGCGCTGCGCCGGGGTAGGGACGGGTTTCGCATGGAGCCGGCTCGACCGGGATGGGTCCCATCGCATTCGGCATCCCGGATTCCATGCCCCCATCCTCTCCCCAACCCTTAACCCGCCGTCAGCGGCGGCGAACCCCGCTCCGGGTCCGGGACCGCACAGGTTCACCCGGATCCTCCGGCGTTTGGAATCCTCGCCGGGCCGTGATACCGGAGCGCGCGCGCGCGCGTGCGTGTTTCCGGGATTCCCGTCGCCCATTCACTGTGGCGACGGCTATGCATTCCCCCCGAGTCCCTTATCGTATCGCCCGCCCGGCCTCGGCTCTGGCGGCTCCGGGGCGATGTAAGTCGCGATAACGCTGAGCGGCGAGGCGCGCGCGCGGCATACGGTGCGTGTGGTAATGGTGACGCCCGGCCCGGAGCCAGTGTGCCTGCCGGGCCGGGCCCTAGCTCTCCTCAGTCAGCTCCGGTCGGGTCCCGGAAGGGCTCCGCGGCTCCGGTCACGACAGCTCCCCGTACGGCCGAGGCGAGGCACGACCGCGCGGCGGGCGCGGGGTGATGTTTGACTTACGATGCATTGGGAAAGCAGCTCGCGCGCGCGCGGCCCGCCCGTCGCGATCTGGCCGAGCGGATAGACTTCTCCGTCCCGGATTATAGCTGGGGCTTAGGCTCGTCCCTGTCGACTATGACGACGGTTATGCCCTTCGCGGGTACACACGCGGGAGGACACCCACGACGCCGCCGAGGCGGGGGCGTCGCTCTGCGCTGTCACCCGGGAAGTGTTTTGAGTCCGCGGCAGCCGGCGAGTAGTAGACTCGCAGCTTGAGGAAGTTGCGGCCGGGTTGACATAAGCCTGTCCAGTCCAGCGGGGTCCCCAGCGGCCGTCCGCGCGGCGGGGTGGAGCCTTGCCATGCGCGCGCGAGGATTCCCAGAGGAGAAAGTTCACGTTTTATCCGCGGGGATCGCATTCAGTGCGCCCTCCTGAGGTCCTGGCGGCAGTCCTCGCTGCAGCGCGAGTCCCGCGGGTCCGGGTCGGTTCTTTGGCGCACGGCGAGCAGGGCCCTGCCTGCCGAGCTGCCTGGAGCTCTTAGAGCCTGCTCTCAGGTCGCCTGGAACAGTCCTGGAACTGCTCGCCACGGCCCGGCCGGCCGGCCCCGCCGGCGCAGCCTGCGCAGCCGCATCGCATCAGGCCGCGAGCGGTCAAGGACCGCGCCAGCCGCGCGGCACTTAGGCCCTTTATTATTTCACAACTCTTGCCGCTCGGCTGGCGGTTAGAGGGACGAGGAGGAAAGAGGGGGGGGGCGCTGCTCGACAGGAACAAGAAAAACTACCGCCTGGAAAATGACGTAAAAGAAATAAAGTGCATCACGCCGTTGTTGGAAGCCCTGCAGCGGCGCTCGAGGCCTCGGCCGGCCCTACTGGATCCATGATGGCGGATGGCGGTGGGTCCAGTGAGTGCAGCGCGCGGTGCAGCGCGGTGGAGGCGGCGGCCACTCTAGTCGGCCTGCCCTCCTCTCTCTGTCCCACGGTTATCAATGCCCGTAACGCGATAGCGCGCCGTCCTCGCGCGCCCTGCGGCCCCCCGCTCTCCCGGGAAGGGAAGGCCGTATCCCAGTCCAACCTGCGCCCTGCGCATATTCAAGGCTCTGCGCCTTTTTATTTCGCGTTTATCCCTCCCGGGGATCGACTGTCTTTCTCGCCGCGGAGCAGCGCAGCGGTGGAGGGGGCAACGTGAACCCGCGGCGCGGGATCGGAATCCAGAGAGCGAGTCAGGTTCATCGCTCAGTGACCCCCCCAGCGACTCTGCGACACTTGTGTGTTTTTGTGGAGCAGGCGTAGGTTGCTGACGCCCGGCTGGTTGAGTATGCGAGTCCTGCTACCCGACCCACACTGCACACCCGCAGAAAATTGTTTCCTTGAATAAACATAAGGAAATGTTCCAAAGAAATTTTCTTTATTTAACGATAAAAATCCCTTGAGTTGAGAGTTTTCTTCAAACTAAGCCAAATTTTTCACCGACTCGAGGCTAATTTCAATGAAATTTCATCTTGTTTCAAGGATACAATTTTCTGGGTGCACCCAGCACTCAACTGGTGAGTGCCATGCATGTAGGGCAGGGCGGTCTGTGGCTGCCTAAAGGAGTAGGGTTGGTGGCGTGCCTCAG